ATCGCGCACTAGCTGTTTTACGCCTAACCACGGAACCCATTGTTGCCGAACCCTTGCTGACAATGATACGGATACATAAACTTTGGCAGCAGACAGACTTGTGCTTACGAAGTCGTAACAATTGCGGGGGCGTTCCGTCCTTCTGGCGTCTATACCCCAAATCACGAGCTCTGAGGCTTGACACATTCATTACAGCTGACTCGTGGGATCTTCGACGACTCTTTGTCGCACTGCCATCTCGAAAAGCTTCATTCGCGACATTCGATTTATGTGCGCAGTCGTAGGCCTTGGAAACTCGCAGAGTCAAATACGCCTAGACTCCCATCTTGTGTTTGGTGCGCAGTCATGACATGGGGAGCGTGCTAGAAGATTTTCATTCATATCTGTTCCGAGACATAACGCCAGTCCGGTATCTGAATGCAAGACCCACCGCGACTGCTGACCGTCACGGTCGTTGCATCCATGAAGTCCTCCATATCAATATACATGCGGTAGGCTGTCATTGCACATGACTCCTCCCTGGCTCTTTCCAGTCGTTGTCAAGCTACTTTTTGTGTAACTTCTTACTCGACCTCAGCCTTGGACTCGAAGTTCTCACCAGCGACAAGTTCGGGGATGTCATCATCGTCCTCGTCGTCGTCGTCCTTCTTCTCGCCGTCCTCACCCTTCTCCTTCTGCATGCTCTGGTAGGACTCGGCAAGTTTGCGTAGCGATGCGAGCGAATCTGGGCCGAGCTGGTTGAGGATGCCGGGGACGAGCTCGGTTAGCTCCTTGTCCTCACCGTGTCCGTAGATGGCGAAGGTGTTGGCAGGTACTGAGGCGTGGACTAAACAAATGTGCGCGTCAGTATATGGTGTATTACGAATGTGGGTGATGGAAGAGCGGGTTTAGATAATAGCATGTCTGCTGTATGTCCAAACTCCCCTCTCAACCTCCTCACAGTGCGGAGCTCTAGGATGACGTACCCTTAGGTGCCGAGAAGTGGATGACGTTTCCGTCGCTCTTGAACATGTTGACCTCCTCAATGGCCTGGATGGGCTGGACGTTGAGCTTCTTCAACGCGGTCTGGAGCTTCTTGTCGTCGGTACCAGCGGCCCTGTGGACCTTCTTGACCTTCCTGCGGGGAGTACCCTTGCCGCTATATATCGAGTTAGCCTCGAATCCCTCATATTCATCTGAGTCCTGCTATGCCATTCGCTAGTGATTGGTGGTCGTGGTGGTGGTTTCGGGGTGTCAAGATATTTTGTGGTGCGGGGCTGTCAAAAATAGAGGACAAGAGGCTTGCTTACCCTATACACGCACAGGTTAGCAATGGATACCTCGAGTGATATGACGGCCTGCCGCCCAAGGCAATTCCAGCTCAGAATAGGCGTACATACCAATGCGCACTGACGCTTGCATGCGCGCCAACTTTGCTTGATCCATATTTGCGGTGTTGAGGAAGAAGGATGACTAGGTGGGGAGAGCTGTGCAAGTCGAGGGTCAGCGGTCGGGTTCGGTTTCTTCGCAGATTTGAGCGAGGGCTTGAGCTCAGGGTGAATACGGGATCGGTACGCACCTAAATTCGGGATCGTGGCCGAGACTTGGAGTGTGGTGTTGCTGGTGAAGTTGTTGCGGGCATCGGCGAAACTCTACGGAAGCGCCGATTGTGTGCATGCCTCGCTTGTTGGAAGCTCCAGATCCCCGCAACGTCAGAGTGGCATTCCATACACATGAACGCCAACACGCCGTCATCAAGCTCGCATCTCAAGACTGACCGTCAACTCACGACGGGCGCCAGTTCTCACTCGCAGCGCGTTTACGCAAAATGCCATCCTTGCCTGTTTCTCGACACACGTAGATGCATGCTTCACTTAATGGTAGAATGACGCAAGGCACAGAAGGGAATAATCAATATTGGTATACAGCTTTCTACCTCAACACGCCACTATCTAGAGCAGTGCCACTCCAGCCAGACCAACAGCACCCAAAGCCCACGAGGCAACCTTCGCTTGTGTTGCTGCGCCGGTGGTCGGTGTGGCTGATGCTGCACCTCCACTGGTCGCCGAGCTCGGGCTTGCGTCTGTTGATGATGTTCCGTTGGGGTTTCCGGAAATGTTCTCCTGGGTAACACTCATGCCTGTTTGGTTCTTGCAGTCTTCACTGAAGTTGATCTGGGCATTGTTGACCAAGGTTACGTCCGCGCACTATGGACATTAGCGATTCTGTTGTAACGGGAAAGTCCATGAATAGTAAGCTTACCTGGTATAGACCACCCGCCTCGTGGTTGTTGGTAACGACTTGTATTGAGGCCTTGGTGCCGTCCGAAACGTTCAATCCTGCCGGTACGGCGACCGAGCCTAAGCAAAAGTCTCCAAGCCCTGAGACCTGGAGCTGCTGTTGTGCGACAATGCTAAACCCATCCCCCGGGTTATCGCCAATGGCCATGTACACAGCGACATTCGTTTGTGGATGCTCCATGTGCAGTTGTATTGGGCCACCGCCAATGGGGAAGTCGGTGCGTTGTTGTTGAACATCGTTGAAACCTCCGCACGGGAAGTTGCCCTCAGTGTCGTCGGTGAACCCACGCGCCGCAGGAAACTTGAGTTGAAAATGAGCGAGGGAAAGAGGTAGGAACGCGAGTGTGAGGATGCTATTGGAAAGCATGTTTACGGTTCGGAGGTAGATGTAGGTATTGATGTCAAGGTAGAGAGGAAGACGCGGTTGACTTTGTATAGAGAAGCGCGAGAAAGTCAGGAATGCAACAATGAACAGCAAGCGAACGCTGGGAACTCCTGCCGTATTTATTGCAGCTTAGGTTGGAACGCATCTTGCCATGCCGTGTATTCCGTCCAGTGAACCGCGTGCCTCGCGCGTGAGCACTGATGGCCACATGCATTTAACCTGCGTTTCAAATAGGCCGACGATCTAAGCAAAGAACAGTAAGTGAGTGATATTCTGCATCGGCGGCGGCACTCGCTAATGTGCAAGTTATCAGGGTACGCTATGTTGTGGCGCGCTGGGTGAGCAAGTTTATTACCAAAGCAGTGGTTCTATGGCGGAAGCGACTAGCGTCGAACATGGATCTATTCCACCCATGAGAATTCCGGTGACACTCTGAGACCTGGACTATGGTTCTACACCGGCTTTGAAGATCAAAATCATGGGAATAACACGTTCATGAATCGCATGTTCGGATCTTGTGTGGAACAAGCTTTGTGGACCTGTCGATAATGTTAGCACTTCGTGGGTCAAAATGTTTGGCCGAGCACGGAGCGATAAGAAAGGTTCCGTGAAGCATGAATTAATTGAGGCGCTGATGTGAACAAGTAACTTTGTCATGACAAGTTTTCTTATGAATGCATAGGTGTGGTTGAGAATCTAACTTAATGGGCCGCAACTTGGTTGAACCTGCCAAATGCCAGTTCGCCGACAAAAGCACCTGCCAAAACAGACAAAAAGTATCCCACATTATATGTCATAACTGCCAACATGCTGTTGAGGAGTCAGCTTCGACCAAGGCAATGTACAAGCATGCATATTACTTACAGGAGGTATCCGACACCAGCCGCAACCGTCATTATGAGTGCCCTAGGCAGATCGACACTGAACCTCCATGGCTGAATATGAGATACAGGCGCCGAGACAACCCGCACATCTTCCTGGACACCATTTGTTGTAAGAATACCAGTCATCGAGTTGGCGTCGTCCGTAGCTTTCTCGATAACCGCTCTTTCGCCAGCAACGACAACATATCGTCGCTTCAAGGCGCTCTTAACTGCTCTGACCTCAAGCAAGGTTTTCGCTGTAAAGACTGCACGGAGGAGGATGGAGAGGAAGATAAGGAAGATGCATGTCCCAGCGTATTGACCGGCAGTCGTAGGGGTCCATGCTTCGGAGTATAGCGGAGTGTTCGTCGCCGTGAAGAAAGCCATTGCCATGCTGCCATGTGACGAAGTACCCATATCCATGCCGCCCATATCCATCGAACTAGTAGCCGTTTCGTGACCCTCGTGAGCGACCATGGTGCCAAGCTGGGTGTGTGTGTGCGCGTAATCGATGAGAATGTTTCTGACGATGAGGCTCAGAAAAGTGTACGTCTGGGTTGTGTGGGGTGATTAGATATCGAAGACTAGGTACTGAGTTCCAGACTGCTAACTCGGTACTGGGGAGATGATCGCTTAAGAGTCCTTGGTACGTTATGGGGGTTGCACGTTCGCTGGTTCCGATTGCGCAAGTAAAGACGCTTCAGCATGAACGCATAACCTGGGGGCGTTGATTTCGTGTTGCAGTGTATACAAGTTAAGTGAGTGAGTAGGATCTTGCGACACTCAAGAAAATGTCAAGTCTGGGCTGATGCGTGAAGCGTCAGGGCATGTGAGCACGTTTCTCGGCACTGCCTTCCCGCCTACAAGTAAGAGAGAGCAACCTCGAAGCCACGGACGGCCTGCAGCGATGCACCTGCAGCTTCGGTGGGCCATGGCGCGCTGCCGGTGACTACGAACGAACGGGCGACGTTCAAAGAGCCGTGAGATCCAAGAGCGACTTTGAGCATAATTAGCCGTCTTTGGTTAGCACGCGAAGCTTGACCTACGCCACGGCCAGGATGGTGCCCACTGGCCCTCAATCCAGGCCCCGCAGTGCATCGAGCCTGCATGTGGGAGGCGATTGATTACACTCGGCACTACGGAAACATTGGATTATTGCTAGAACGTATCTGAAGGTGCTCCATGTGTGACACTTCCTCTACATCACTATCGGTCTTCATTATTCCTATGACACTGCTACATTCTATCCATCTCCCAAAGTACTAGAGTGTATCTTCGTACCCACAACTTATCAGTCGATGACACCATCGCCCTAGTTACGTCTTTTGACTTGTTTCCGACCGAGCCAGCATGCAATAAACACCAAGGCTAGGCTTTCGCCCGTCCGTCATTCGCAAACGCCCAACTTCGCATCTATTCCAGGCCTGAAATCATCAGCCAAACGACGGTTGCGTAATCGCAGCGGCGCCCATCATGAGCCACAACCACATGTCGATGGGCTCTATGGGCATGTTGCCCGAGCTCACAGAATGGCCAAATTTCTACTACGCAGTAATAGGGGCAGCAGTAGGCGTCGCAACAATTTTCAACGTCTACAACTACGTGCTATACCGCCAAAGAATGCTTACAATAAGAGGCGGTTCGCAGACACCCGCAAAGCCGAGGTCATGGTTCCCTCTTGGAAACGCGACACTCTTCGCATTAACGCGCGAAGCCTCTAACTTCTCTCTCCACATACCACTAAAGGGTCGCGTACTCAGATTACCAACAGTCGGTCGATCGTCCTTGGTTGCAGCAAACGTAGTAGTCCTAGTCGTCCTATGTTTGTACGGCTTCGATGTGACGGACCAGTTCAGTATGGAAAATATTGGCTTCCGTTGCGGTGTGGTTACGATCGCCCAACTACCTATCATCGTCCTACTAGCGGGCAAGAATAATGTAATAGGGTGTCTTAGTGGTGTCAGTTATGAACGTCTCAATTGGCTTCACCGGTGGTGCGCTCGATGTATGCTTCTCACAGCTACTATGCACATGGGGTACTTCTTCAGTGCCTGGGCACCGTACGACTACATTGGCTACCAACTCAAGAACAACAAGATTGTGTGGAAAGGCCTTGCCGCCTGGTGCACGCTGGCGTGGATCGTCTTCAGCTCTATGACACCCATTCGTGGCTGGAACTACGAAATATTCGTTATCCAACACATCGTCTCCTTTGCGGTATTCCTTGCGTTCGTTTACATTCATACCCCTATCGAGATGAACGGCTATGTTTGGGCACCCGTTGCCTTTTTCCTGTTTGACCGTGTCTTCCGCGCGCTCCGACTACTATACATCAACACATCCTTCTTCCATCCATCGTTGAAGAAGCGGGGCCAGATCGATGGCTTCTGGGTATGCAAAGCTGAGTTCACACCTCTTCCACACAACACCACACGTATCGTTGTCACCAATCCTCCTATCAGCTGGACCCCTGGCCAGCATGTATACCTATCTTGCCATTCCCTAGTACCACTCCAAAGTCATCCATTCACCGTGGCATCGATCCCAGAAGATGGAAAGATGGAGTTCTACGTCAAGGCTGAAAAAGGCGGGACAAAACGTTTCTTTCGGCATGCTGAGAGATCTGGCAGTCTGGTTGGAGTGACTGCGAAAGCCAGGAACGTGACCATAGAAGGCCCCTATGGCACTTTGAGACCACTTCGTCAATTTGACAGCGTCGTTCTCCTAGCGGGCAGCACTGGTGGAACCTTCACCCTTCCGCTCCTACGCGATTTACTCCAAGGCTGGAAGGAGAACGCTCGTGATAGTCCAGACAGCACTTCATTCTTGAAAGCGCCAACTGGCGCCGTCACACGACACCTTCGCTTCGTATGGGTCGTCAAGAGTAGAGGCCAACTCAGTTGGTTCTCTAAGCAACTTTCCTCCATATATACCGAGTTCGAAGCGCTGCAAGAAACACTTCGCGATATCAAGCTCGAGATGACGGTGTACATCACCTGCGACGAATCCTTCACCGAAGAGCACATTTCTTTACTCTCGGGTGTGACAGCACCCAACACGAACGCAGCACAGCAGCAGAAGGAGCCCAAGCACGGCGCAGTGCAGTATAGATCGCCTCAACAGATGACAACAGAAAGCAGCACGACAAAGTCAGAGAAGGAGGGTTATCAAGAAGTCGCATCTCTCAATTCTGAAAGCCTCGATGTCCAACAAACGTCCTGTGGTCCGAACGGCACATGCTGTTGCCGCGCTGCCATCGACGAATCGGAGTCTTCTCCAGCCGGCAAAACCGTATGTGCCTGCTCGAAACCCAAAGCCAATGCATCATCTCGTCCCACTTCCTTCGTACCTTCTACTCCATCTTCTCTTGAACCAAGTAAGAAGGTTGTCGTACATCCTGCGATAGCGGTATACTCGGGTCGACCAAGAACACGCGATATTATACGCAGGTCATTGGAACAGGCGCTGGGAGAGAGTGCAGTGGTGGTGTGTGGGCCGCAGGGCTTAGTGGCGGATGTGAAGCAAGATGTCGTTTGCTTGAGCGATGAAAGGGCAGTGCATAAAGGAACGGGCGCGCAAGGCATATACCTGCATACCGAGAGCTTTGGATGGTGATATTCGCGACGACCAATAAGTGTTCGTTGAATCTGTCACGTCGTGAATGTTCTCATCCGTTAATGAAGTATGGTAGTGGTAACATTCGTTGCGAAGAAATAAATAAGACTACAGATGCAAACCGTTTCATGACGGTGCAACGCCTCAACGCCTATCCAATCGAATCCACAATATCGCTCAAAAGATGCTAGTATGTTGGCGAGAAGATGTGATGATAAAAAACAAGACCAGATGCAGTGATGACAAAGGGAAGAGATGGTAGATAGGACGCGACCCAATGGCTCGCTTTCAATCCACAATCATCAACGCCGAAACACCACTCCGTTTGATGAACAAAGGAAATGGTATCTGCCCTCCAGTTTTCCAACGCCATGGGAAGTGTAAACCAATACACCCATTATCTACTCCTCGTCGTGTCGTTGTAAGTGTCGTAATCGTTCCGGGGCTGTTACAGATCGTCCGTCCTACCGGACCATGCGTTTGCTGCGGACAATGAAGGGAGATGGCATCTCCGGCTCGGTCTCTGGGTCCCATACTGCAGGCGGGCTGATACCGCCAGTCCTCTTGACAGGACTCCTTCGGCCACCATATCCGAAGCCTTTCTTCGCGCCACCCTCATCTTCACTCATAGTGTGCACAGGAATACCGCGGGCTTGTTGAAGCTCGACCAATGTGCGACCCTGAACACCACCGTTGTTGCGCATCGCTTGCACACGGAACGCCTCATTGCCCTTCTTTGATGGGAGACCAGCAAATGGTATGGACTTTGTTGTGGCGCCGGTCTTGCGCGGCGACGTCGATGGGTTGTCCGTGGACCTGGCCTTCTGTCGAGAAGGAGATGCAGCGACAATGGGTACGGCAGAAACGGGGCGAGGCTTCGTAGTTCTGGGACCCAGTAGGTTTGGTGTGCTTCCGAGTCGGGCGTTCGCCTTTAGTAGTGGTGCTTGAGCGTTCGCGAGCACTTTGAAAGGGTCTTCACTCATAGGACGACCACCAGAGGCGCTTCGTGCGCGGGTTGGCGATGGCAGCACGGGAAGGTCGTCGTCATCGTCGAAGTCGGCATTCCACTCAGCTTCAGTGGGCGAAGGAGGAACATCGGCTTCCCACTTTTTGGCACCTTCCTTGGCCGCAGCGAAGATGTTTTGCTTAGGTTGCTGGTTGCGACGGGGGGAAAGGGAAAGTCCCTTGAGTGAGGCAGGCGCGGGCGACGGCTCAGCCATCTGAACATCCATGGGAGAATCCGGTACTTGTGTGGTGGAAGGCTGGGAGAACATTGTGCGGGCGCGAACGAGGGGGCCTCGAGACGGTCGCTTTGCCTTTGGTTTGGGTGCAATGGTGACGTCCTCGGTGTGATCATCTAGAGAGAGTGACGAAAGGTCTGTTCCACTTGCGAAGTCGGAATCTGTGTTGAGCGTGTTCTGGGAAGTGTTTGTAACGGCACCTTCAGCCTCTGCTGAGAACAAAGCCGAAGGTTCGGTTGCCGCCATGGTGGGTGTGTTTGAACGAGGAGCCAGCTTTGGTGATGTGCTCAGACGGTTGGGGTACATCTTCAAAGCGCGCTCTACCCGCCTGTTGACCTCGCCCTCAAACGTCGCCTGGAGGTGCGCCAGCTCTTTTTGTACCCGCTGCTCTGTTTGGAGCTTCACTTGCCTCTCAATCTCCAATTGTGCCTTGACTTCCCACTCTCGTCGTAACTGGTCGTCCAATTCTTTACGGATACGTGAAATGGCCTCGCTTGCTTCCTTCTCTCGCTTCGCTGTGAGCATACGTTGCTCTCGGAGATCTTGTCCCAGCTTGACGACCTCCTGCTCTTTGCGCATGAGCTTGACAATGGGCAAGTTGAGAAGGGCGGCAGTGTCTGGCCTGTGATCGGGTGTTGTGTTGAGGCAGCTGGCGATGACTTTTCGGAGCTCTGCTGAATAGCAAGCAGGTATGTCAGGGTATCGACCCAGCTTGATCTTGGAGATGAGTTCGAAGTGAGTCTTCGCGTTGAAGGGAGGTGACTTGGTGCACATCTCGTATATGATGCAACCGAGTGCCCAAATGTCGGAATGGGGTCCATATTGCTCCGCCTTGCAAATCTCAGGCGACATGTAGAAAGGAGTACCAACGTAGGTAGAGGCGAAATCGTGCGATTGGAGGATCTTGGACAGACCGAAGTCGCCCAGCTTGACACTGTTGTCGTCTCCGAGAAAGACTGCGGGTTGTTAGTACAATCAAGCGACAACATAAGGACCAAATACTGACTGTTTTCAGGCTTAAGATCTCTGTGGAGAATCATAGGCTTGCGTGGGTCACGGACTGGCTTCGCATTGCCAACCAGACCCATGACGTTGCGGCCTGCCGCAGGGGGGTCTTCACCATAATGGCAGCGGTACAAGGCGCTGACGATTTGGCTGAAAATGCTCCAGACAAACTCCTCCTCACAAACTTGGTTCTTGTTCTTTAGGTCTCGAATGACGCGTCCGAGGTCGCCGTTTCCGCAGTATTCCATGTAGAGGTGGAGGTCTTGCGATGCCTTGATGTGGTCACGTTCGAAGTAGGCGACAATGTTGGGGTGTCGGAGCTCCTTCAGGATAGACAGCTCAGCCTGCAGCTGCTCGCGTTCCTTCTGCGACATCTTAAGATAGCTGATTTCCTTGCGGCAGAGGATCTAGGCGGCGGTTAGCAAGTTGCGTGCGCAGGCTCTGTCGTGGTTGCATACATAACCATCTGACTTTCGCTTGACCTTGCGAATGATACCAAAGGACCCATGGCCTATACAATGTCAGTACGCGTCTCCCGTCGTATCCCAAGGTCCGGCCGTACCAATCTTCTCGAGCACATCGTACTTTTCTTCCTCGGGCATGGTGAAGATATTGCTATTGCTCAAAAGACATGCAATTATGGAATGTAGGTAAGGGTAGCAAGCTGCTGGGTTAGTAGAGGGCGAAGGTAGTGACGGGTGTAGATTATGTACAATGAATGGGTGGGATGGAAGCCAGGTTTCCTTGGTGTTTGGGCCTGTTTACGCTAACGCCCGTCAACCCAGCAACGCCCACGTTTTGCAGTTGCCAGGTGGGACGCACCCCTGTCACCGGCCTTATCGATAGCACGCCGATCTACGCCGCCACTCGTCATCGCATAACAATCAGTAGTCACTCTCGCAATATGTCGGGGCCAGCGAGTGAATCCACTTTTTGCCACAGCCATGGACGTCAAGAAGAAGTACGAGATCGAGGCGGCCCTCGCGACAGAAGCCCAGGCCATCTCGTCGGGCCAGCTCAAGGAAGAGAACCCGCTAGACTTGAGTGATGATTTCAGGGTCTTTTGTGAGGCATGTCGGAGGGGAGACTTAAAGGTTTGCCAGGAGATGATCTCGACGGGTGTGAACATCAACGCCAGGGATAAATTCGATTATACACCTCTTATCCTAGTAAGACACCCTTCTGCTTTGTCTGGACATTTTGTTACCTGAACAAGAGCAATGCGCTGACCGCTGAAGGCTAGTCTTTGCGGTCACTACGAAGTCATAAGGTTGCTTCTTGAAAACGGCGCACTCTGTGAAAGAGACACTTTTCAAGGGGAGCGATGCCTGTACAACGCCCTCAACGACCGTATACGCAACTTGCTATTATCCTACGATTACGCAAAATCTTCCAACCCCCTCCAACCGCTGGCGGCGCACATTACTTCACTCCTCACGAGGACTTCGCCTAAGACGACGGACATCACAATCACAGCCTATGGTCAAGAATTCCACCTTCATAAATTTCTCCTCGCGGCACGATCGCCGTACTTTGCGAAGAAGCTGGAAGCGGCACCGAACACGGCCTCGTGGAAGCTACCAAACACCATACCCGCAGAGTCGCTAGGCGTGGCATTGCAGTATCTCTACTTCCAAGAAGTCTCAATACGCAGAGCGTTACATGGACTGAGTGATGAGCAGGAGCTAGTGGTGCTAAGCGGCATAGATAAGATTGGCAAGCAGCTAGAGATAGAACGTTTGTTCGAAGATATTACAGAAGTCTCGGATCGAAGATTATTGCGTCAGCGACGCGCGGAGGAATTGGAACGGGGCCGAGATCAACTAGAAGGCTGGTTCAAGAACAACGTCCTCCGGCACAAGCGGGTCGTGGACACTGCAAAGGTGGACAATATACAATGGGACCGGGAGAACTCCATCTTCGCCGACATACTACTGCGTGCCGACGATGATGACGAAGATCAAGATTCCGAGGGCACCGATCGGTCACCAGGGCCATCAGAGTCATCCACGCCACCTGTGCGAAACACTCCAGGGCCTCTGTTAGGAATACCAGTCGGACCTGGTCGCGCACGTTCGAGGTCGCCTTCACGTCAACAAGCGCCTCGTAAATCAACCATCTTCCCCGCGCACCGAGCTATGCTATTGCGTTCTGAGTACTTCCTGACCATGTTCAGCTCTCAGTTCAAGGAAGCACAAGACACACCGCATCTGCAGATTGTGACCATCGACTGCTCGCCAGCAGTTTTGGAGACTATCCTTACATTCATGTACACCGAACGTGCTGACTTTGGTTTGGATATTGCAATCGATGTGCTCTTTGCGGCAGATCAGCTCTTCATCGAGAAGCTGAAGCAACGCGCCGCCATTATCATTTCCGCACTGGGTAACGGCGCAACCTCAGCAGTCGAGTCAGACAACCCACGGGGTGCTACAGATGCAGATGAAGCAGTGGATATCTATGAAGTCATCCGAGCCGGGTGGGACACAAGAGTACAGCGGCTTGAAGAGTTTGCTGCGCGATACATCGCCTACCGGCTGGAACACTACATAGACCAACCTGAGTTTGCAGAGCTAGTCCAGGAATCTGCAAATCGCGTCAAGGCACGTCAGGAGACCGATACTGTCGAACTCGTCGACGACATCCGATATTACCTCTCGGAACGATTCAGGCTGCGCTTTGAGGATAGCGGGCTAGATGAGATGATGGATGAGAACGCAGCTATGCAAGCCAGTACCGATGGAGATCTTGTTGATGCTATGGGCGATTTCGCGCTAGAGGACGGTATACCTAATAAGCTGCAGCAAGATGAGAACATGGCGTCGGTCGAGCAGCAAATTGCTGCTGGTGTCATTAGAAATCTGGATGGCGAGGAAGTCGGTGATGAATTTGCTCAAGATGCGATGAATTATCAAATCCTACTAGGGAAGATAGACACGTTGCTCGAGAAGCTAAACTTAGATGCTTAGACAGAGAATCCAACCAAGCTTCATGCTAGATGCAAATTCACTTGCATGGACCGTAGCCCTCCAAGGCGCACGATTGGTGACATCATGGTGGGGTTCGGTGCGCAGCTCCCCGCCAAATGGTCGTTGACAGCTTGACAAATACCGTAGCAACTCATAATGCGCGTCATTGCCCGAGCGACCTCAACTCTTCAAACTCCAACGACTCGGCTCTTACCTCAACATTTAGGAAGAGCTTCAATCGCAAGGCCGCGACTATTCACAAGCTACCAAGCAATACCAACGCGCAAAGTACTTCCAAAACAACACATTGCCAATATGTCGACCGAATCTACACAGTCGCAGGCATGCTGCAACACACCTGCGGTGGTCAGTAAAGGCTACCAGCCAAAGGGTGATTATATTGAGGTAGACGGATTGAAGACCTGTACGTCCAACACCGAGACATCACGTCACGTCCCAATTAACTTCTACAGACCAGACCGGTCCCAAGGACGCAAAACAAGGAATTCTAGTCGTCTACGACATCTTCGGATTCTTTAATCAAACACTGCAAGGCGCTGATATCCTGGCTTACACCGACAGCCAGAAGTACCAAGTTTTCATGCCTGATTTCTTCGAGGGCAACCCAGCCGACATATCCTGGATGCCGCCAGACACCAAGGAGAAGGAGCAAAAGATGGGTGAGTTCTTCAAGTCGCAAGCTGCGCCTCCGAAGACACTGCCGCGCATTCCGAAGATTGTCGACGAACTCAGCCAGAAGAACGGCATTGAGAAGTGGGCTATCATTGGCTTCTGCTGGGGCGGAAAGGTATGAACAAGGTGATTCGACCTTGATGCATGTGCTAACACCGCACAGATTGTCAATTTGTCGTCCATGGAAGGCACAAAGTTCAAGGTTGCCGCTGCGTGCCACCCCGCCATGGTTGCTGGCGACGACGCCCCCGGCATCAAGATTCCCTACATCATGCTTCCTTCCGGCGATGAGCCTAAAGACGATGTTAAGAAGTGGGAGGAGGGTATCAAGGTTCCTCACGTTGTAGAATGGTTCCCAGACCAGATTCACGGCTGGATGGCGGCACGCAGTGACCTTGAGCAGGAGAAGGTTAAGAAAGAGTATGAGCGTGGGTATAAGATGGTGTTGGACTTCTTCCACAAGCACATGTGAGTTTGATAGAGCTGTGGTCGTGTAGAGTTAGATGCTGAGTTCGCTAGGGGTTCCGAGGCGAAGCTCTAGTATGAAGGTAAGCAATGTCGACAAGGAATAATATATATGATTTTATGACATGAAAATGCTGTTTTAACACTGTAAACAAGCTGACTGCGAGTATTTCACTAGCGCGCTCTGGAAGGCCCCATAGGCGAGGATGACAGCCCAGAGGTGGCGTGCAAGCAATTTTGAAGCCGCGCAACCATCATCAACTCGTTGGACTCATCGCCAATGTGGAAAAGGTCCGACGGAGTGGGATAGAGGGCGTCGCAGGATGACGAGAGTAGGGTGTGGGGCTCTTAGCCGTGGGGTTACTCCATGGGGCCGTGTGCATTGGCGTGCCCAGGTGGAACGGCGGTTTAAATGCCGAGGGCACGTCGGCAATTGATCACGTTGTGGACGAACATGTCGCAGGTTATCTAGGAGCATTGGGCGTACTTCGGCTTACTTTTGTCGCGACTTATCTCTTCGGTGTATTTCTGTGTTTTGCTCTCGTACATTCTCCAGCCACGAGACATAGAAAGCACATCTCATCATGGCTCTCGGTGCGTGTTCCCATTTCGTGCAGCAACAGCCGCGGCGCGCTTGTCACGTCAACCCCCAACCATGTCTCTACCCAACTCACGTCGTGCATATAAACTGACCCGGCTTTCAAGCACCCGTAGCAGGCGCAATTGCAGGTGTTACCGCAGCTGCCGCCTACATCGACGCCAAATACCACATCACGAAAGACCTCAAGAGCCAACGCGTCCTGAAGGCTGCCGCGCGCGACCTCGAGAGAAATGGTAAGCCCGAGCTCTGTAGACTGTCAGTCTGCTGTATTCTAACAAGACACCAGCACAAGGCAAGGGCCAGTCTCTGTGGTACCAATTCGAAGCCCAAGTCCGCCGCCTGCCCTCGACCGAAGAATGCATCTGGTCTCGCACCGGCTGCTACACATGGGCCGAAACCTACGCCAATGCCTGCCGATATGGCCAATACCTCCGCCAAAATGGCGTTGTCCCCGGTCAGCTCTTCGCCATGTACATGATGAACCGCCCCGAATTCTTGTTCGCACACCTCGGTAGCTGGAGCATAGGAAGCGCGCCAGCGTGGATCAACTACAACCTCGCAGGCGATGCGCTGGTGCACTGCTTGAAAGTGAGTGGCGCCAAGGTGTTGCTTGTGGACGAGGATCAAGAGTGCAGAGATCGTATCGAGGCTGTGAGAGAGAGGCTGGAAAATGAGCTGGGCATGACTGTCCTAGTCCTCGACACGGCTCTGAAGGGAGAGATTTCCAGGCTGGAACCCGCGAGGCCCGAGGATGAGCTTCGGGTGGGCATGAAGGGGAAGTTCCCCCTCTTTCTGTTCTATACAAGGTCAGTGAGCATCATGGCAGTTGTTGCTGGAGCGGTGCTGATTATGACAGTGGCACGACTGGACACCCAAAAGCTTGTCCTTTCGAAACCCAGAGAGCGGTCGGTTTGACTCAGCGTGTAGGTGCAATGGGGCTCAAGTCCGGGCCCAACGGCGACAGATGGTATGTCTGCATGCCTCTATACCACGGCACTGGAGGCACTACAGCACTCGTCTGCATGGTCACCGGTCTCACATGCTGTATCGGAACCAAGTTCTCGACATCCAGGTTCTGGACCGACGTACGCGATTCGAGATCTACCGCCATCGTCTATGTGGGAGAGACCGCTCGCTACCTTCTCAACGCCCCTCCAAGCGATCTGGATCGGAAGCACAATGTCAGAGCCATGTTCGGAAATGGCCTTCGCCCTGACGTATGGCAGCGATTTGTCGACCGCTTCGGTATCGAGGTCGTTGGTGAATTCTTCAACAGCACGGAAGGCGTCATGGCGCTGTTCAACGGTTCTCGTGGACCCTTTACCGCCACGTCAGTCGGCCACCAGGGTATCATCGATCGCTGGCGCACCCACAATACCTACGTCCCCGTCGAGGTCGACATCGTGACAGGAGATCTCCTCCGTGATCCCAAGACCGGCTTCTGCAAACGAAAGGCCTACGAGGAGGGAAGTGAGATTCTCGTCCAGATGCCAAGCGAGCAAGCTTTTGTCGGCTACTGGAACAACCCCGATGCCACAGAGAAACGCTTCGAGCGCAATGTCTTCAAGAAAGGCGACCTATATTACCGCACTGGCGACGCACTGCGCCGCGACGCTGATGGCCGTTGGTTCTTCATGGACCGCCTCGGTGATACCTTTCGCTGGAAATCTGAGAACGTCAGTACAGCAGAAGTCAGCGAAGCACTTGGCTCCTTCCCAGGGATTCAAGAGGCAAACGTTTATGGCGTCGAAGTGCCTGGCTTTGATGGCCGAGCAGGCTGTGCAGCTATTTACATCGACCCTGCTCATCTAGACTCCTTCAATTTCAACGCGCTACTTGCGCATGCGAAGAAGAAGCTGCCAAAGTACGCAGTACCTGTGTTCTTGAGGGTCCAGAAACAACAAACGACAATGCACAACAACAAGCAGAACAAGGTTCCATTGAGGAACGATGGCATCGATCTAAGGAAGCTTATGGAAAGGGCGGACAAGGAAGCCAAGGAGCAAGGGAAAGAAGAGGCGGAGTACGACACCATGTACTGGCACCCTGCTGCTCTTGGATCCGGCAAGGGCAAGACTGGTAGCGACGACGGCTATGTTGTTTTTACCATGGCGGACTGGGATTTGCTTAAGGGAAGCGTGGATGTAGAGGGCGGTGCCAAACTATGAGCTTTCCGTTTTTTATGCGTGCTTGGAGTTTTTAGCTAGCGTTCTTGTTTCGAATAGATTGTACATCTACATCCTAAACAAATCCTAACGATGCACTTAGGTAACCATGAATGGCAGACCTGGGATGAATTTATAACTTCTCAAGAACAACCACACATCGCAGGACAACGTTTCGTATCACTAGAGAACTCTCGATGAATGCATTACACTAGTATCTCACATTAATCATCCTCGACTACATTCCTCCCTAGGCTGATGTATCGCCTGTGTTCTTAATGATGAACGGACTTTCCACATACAGCACGGTTGAGCAACATTGCGTGAAACTGCCCATCTTCTTCAACAGATACAAGCAACATCATAGCACCAATCGATATGGGATTGGAGTACATCGCATCTGTAATCTAGTATATAGGCTCTACTGCACTGGTAAGGCGACCCAGACGAAATCTTCTACTAAATGAGCTCCTGTTGAAGTTTCGTATTCTCATTGGTTTAGCTATTTGATCGAACCGTTTGAACGTAGGTAAGCAATAGTAGTAGGTTGTAGTTGCAATATCTATCAGTTCTGATTATGCAATCCGTACGCGTTGAACTAGAATACGTAGTACAGCCAACAATAAAATACTGTGATCGCTTGATTGTTGATATGATTATTCATGTGACTCAAAGAGACCAGTTTATGCTATTTCATGCCACTGAATTCATACCGCTAAACTATGAAATCGTACGTAGAGGTCCCCTCTCTCTCGCAATCATCATATGGCTGTTCTTCATCACCATATAAATTTCTCAGCGTAGATTGGAAACTTTGAATCCCACCAATTAGTGTTGCCCGTTCCTCTTCTACACTTCCAACGTCGAAGACTACTTCTTTCCGAGCGTGACCTTGGCCAAACCAAATAGATCCGTTGCTCTCGCTCCAGTTTGTTCTTACACCGTCCTCCAAGCCTCGTCGACAGAACGCAAGTAATTCTGCGTGTTGCTTCTGCTGGATTGGCGCATGCGCATCGCCAATGTACGAGGGAATCGTCTCCGGCGTTGTGCCTTGGAGGAGTTTGATGACGAAGATGCTGAGTTGGTCGATATATGTAATGAGCGGTGGTTGGCTAGGACATGCAGAGGGCATAGTGCAACTGCATATATACTCTAACGGTGGAAGAATCGATTTCATAGCATTCATCATATGCGCAAGTGCAGCGATGACATGGGATTGCTGGAGCCAGTGCTGACTGTCCTTGAGTTGTTCTGTTCCGCGGATGAAGGCATGCGAAACCGATACGATACAATCCAGTACGGATATGAGACTGTCGGGCTGAGTGATACGGAGATCGAAAATCATCGTATCTAGAACCGAGGGCAGCGCTTGCAGTATTGGCCTAGCGATGGCAAAGGCTGTGCTTGATGAGAACGCTTCTTCTAGGTACGCTGGAAGGACGCCTTGCAGCAGTACTGATCGCAGTGCAACCCTGTCAGGAGTTGGTGCCTCGTCAGTACACAGAGCAGTCGTGAGCTGGTTGACAAGGTAAATCTGCTGGTTATCGGCAGCAGCCTGTTGCACGACCGTCTGTATAAAGACTGATAGTTGTTTCGCAATTCCTGTGTCTGACAATTTAGGCGCATACCCACAAAGGCGTGCCACGACATAAGTGGGATCCCCAGCTGGTAGTGGGAAAGCGACGGAGTCCGTGAAGAAGGGTAAAACGGGACAGATATCGTTTGTATACTGCTTGAGGAACTGAACGATCTTCTGCACGAACTCGACGTAAGCGCCGGTCACCATCGTACCCTGACGAAGCTGCTGATAGTTGTACTTCATCGTTGTCATAAAGTCCTTCAGCATAGACGCATACGATCTCTTTATGTTAGCAAGGCGCGCCGGCTCAGCTTGAGCAACCGATCGAACGTCGTCGCGCATATTCGACAGAATACTAGAGATAAGCGCGAGGCGCCGCGTACGCAGAGTATCAGCGGTGATATCCCACTCAACGGTATCTGTATTGCGGAAGAAGGGTAGGTTCTGCATAAGTGGGTGATTATCATCTGTTCGCGCGATGGCATAAAACAGTCGATGCTGGAACCTGAGCAAAGACTCTCGCTCAACCAAGCATACCATTAGGGCTTGGAGGAAATCGTGGCGATGCTCTTCGTAAGCGATCGAGTCGCAGTCGATAAGAGCGGCCATGAAGTACGGGCCGAATTTACGCGTCTGCTCGGTGTGCCGTAGCTGTCTCCATGATACCTGACTGAACGAATCCAAGTAGTACGTCCATGACCGATCACCTGATGCTACCTGACCTTCTGCGATCAGAACCCATGTGTCAACGCAGTCCATGAGGAGGTTGTCGTCAGGGGAGTTTTCCGCGCCAAAAGCGTTGGACAGCAGGTGCCAGAGGGGCTTCTGAATGAAGTCGAGGCCTGATTCCTGGATGACCTTTGCGGGGACGTCAGAGTCGATGCCTTCCAAGTCATCCATGTCGGGGAAGTCGCCGTAATCCTGGCTTTCGTCACTCGTCTGTTGACTCACGTCCCTCTTCACATGGGCTTTTTGTAACTTTGCAAAGCTCTGGAGAACTTTCATAGTGTCGCGAATGATGCTGACAAGGCGGCGATCTTCTAGATGAGGGAGCTCAAGCAGGCACATGATGTCGGAATCAATGAGGAAGGCTCTCATGGACAAGTGGTCTCTTGCATGAAGGATTGCTCTATTCATCCCGGCAATGCAGTCTCGTAGTGTCGCAATGACCAGCTCCTGGTTTCTCTCCATTGTTTGACGGACCATGACTGCGGAGATATCGGTAGTACCATCTAGAACGCCAGACTTCAAGTAGTCATCTGCCTCGGTTTTGGCCAGCTTGTACTGTCTTAGTGTTTGATGCATTATGTCTTTGTACCATAATGCGAACGGTCGTGCAGAGGTGTACGGCTCCTCGGTCGATAGTTGAAATGTGGCGAGGTTGGCCCAGGCTCGAACGTTGACTCTACAGGCCTCGCGGTGAGAGCTTTCGTGATTGACAAGATCACGAATGTGATCCAGTTTTGGACGACAGGTTGGCGGCGCAGCAAAGTAGAGCGTGGAAAGTAGGTCATGATGATTGCGGAGTGCTACCAGATTCTCTTCGTCTAGAGGCTGATCTTTTGGATAAGCACGCCCGTGGTTAGGTAGAGACCGAAAGACAAAGCTGCGAATCTTCTTCTCTGGATAAGCGTTTGTCATACCCTGGAGGCCCAGAGCAAGACATATCAGTGCGATGTGGAAGGAATTCTCGTTTTGCTCGACGACGAACGACGGTGATGTTGCAAGATTGTTGAGAAAAGGTACCGATCGGTCCCCTGATTCCCGTCGCAGGTTCTTGAGGCCATTCTTGCCGAAAAAGTCCAACACGGCATTAAGCATCAGCTCCGGACGACTCCAATGCCAGTGAGTGATCAACCGGTGGCATCGTGCGAGGTTAGCACGAACATAGTCGTTGAGTGACGCGCTGTGCTTCCTATAGGTACTCGGATACAGTTCAAATAACCGACGTAGGAGATCTCGGATACACGTCCAATTATCCTTCTGGAAGGTCTCTCTCCGGCTTTTAAGCGGAATGCCCGATGCATCGATCTCGTTATAGGGGAGGAAAGTGAATATCGAAGCCCACGTAGTTTCGAAGGTAGGCAAAGATGTGGCGTTGGCGAGTCTGGAGCACAGGTCTTGGCCTACCAAATCCCAGAAATTACATGCTGGCATGTCCATCTCATCCAATACATGAGTGCAGATGACTACACTTTCAACGACAACTTCATTCTCTTGTATCCCCTTCTCGCGTACGGAATGTCGCTTATTTTGGTCCAGAAACTTGCCTAGATTTGGTATACCATGTCGCACCAGCTGCGTGATGATAGTCTTAGACAGGTTCTTGACAAGACCAACAAGCTCGACTCGATTGCCTTGATCGACAGTAGGATGCTGAGCAATACAATGAACCTGAAAGCTCGCGACGAGGATGTAGGCCATGGCATGTATGACACCATGAACGCCGCTAGAATTCTGACAAGCCGTAGTTCTCTGAGCAACCGACAAGCTGTCAAAGAGCGATTGATAGAGCCGCATTAACTTAAAAACACAGTCGTTTCGATCGATCGGGTCTAAGAAGCTGAGATGATCAGTTACCCAGTTGATGAGTGACCGTGCCAACCGAATCAATTGCGTCAAACCCTCATTGACTGACGATGGGATATGACGTCCAGCTTCCTGGTCTTCCAAAGGCTCAGACGCCGCTTTTACAAGGTCTTGCAACTTTGAAAACGTGTCGTCATTCCATGGGCCGCATCTGATCGAAAGAGCACCATGGGCAATAGTGCAATGACCAGCCGGATCATCAAAGCTGCGACCGTCGGGCTTGCTGATGACTAAAGCTCGGCGAAATTCGTCAGACCCGATGAAAGTAGACGAATGAAAATACGTATCAGCCGCTAGCGAATACACATCGAATGTGACGGGGTATCGAGTACCATAAGGACCCAGGCCATGGAGTATGGGTGAGCCTTGTTCAGTCTCAGCGTCCTGTACTTGAAGAACATCAGCAGTCTTAAGTATTTCCTGGACTGCCGGCTCGCTCGGCTGTCGATATTCCCGCGCATCGACATCAATTCTTTGCGCTTGGACCTTTCGCTTCAACCGTTTTTTGGGTGGAGGGTGCTGGTGTCTTGAACCTTCTGTTTGGCCTTCCCCTACCTCGTTTGCAGAAGGGAGGGGTGGCAGTTCAATGCCGTCGTCTGCGAGATATCGACTTAACTGTGGATTTACGAAAGGCTCTTTGCTAGGAAGCTGAATACCGAACTCCTGATCAACACGTAACAGGCCCTTTTCGAATGCGATTTTCCGGTGACCTCGGCCAAAGTCGTTCTCATCGCCTTCTAATTGTGCGGTTCTGAAAGGAAGAGGCGCTCGACGTACAGCCCGTCCTGGATCCCTGTTTGGTTGAGCACGTTTCTTCCCTGTTTTTGTGGACATCTTGATTTGATTCTGGGTTGTAGAGCGTTGGAAAATATGAAGACCTGTAGGAATAGATTTACGGGAGCGTGAGCGAGAGACATCGGTCGCAGCTTCGGATCGCATGTCGAGCTCTTTCAAAGATCCTCCATCATTCACTGGAAGCTGCTCTGCATGCTGCTGATTATCGATCCTATTGATCAAAGGATGTCGTGATTTTTGTTGTTGCGATGCGACATTTGCTTTTGGTCTAATTGTGCCTCGTTGCCATTGTTTGAGAGTAAAATTGGCCTCTTCTGTATCTTCCGCATTTTGGAGTCGTATTTGTTTGTTTCGCGGCTTTTGACGGGCTAGATCTGGTCTTTGGAGCGCTTGCCGCCTGGCAATGCGGAGGAATTGCGGTATTGCATCGCCTTGCCGAGACGGCGAGAGATCAACATCTATGACACTCATGGCAGGCAAAGGAGTCTTGCGTGGTCTTCTGGAGTTGGCTTGCTTCTTCTTTCCCGTCTGCCCGTTGAGCAATCGTCGTTCATAGGCTACACTCTTCCCCAGACCGTCCGACGATCTAGCTTTCTTAGACTTTCCAAATGCATCTGTAAGCTTAGTCTGTCTTTTCCGTTTTGGTCCGGTTCCACCAAGTGTCGGAAGGGGAAGATAATCGTGCTCCATGTCCGATAGATTGTCGTTAGCATAACGATCCTCAAACAGTGCAGCTAGTGCAGAAGCGTCAGCCATGGAATCGTGCACCGTTTCCAAATGATGGCTGACATGAGGTCTTGGCTCGTCATCTGAATCGTCTGATATGACAACGGAAATTCTTGATGGTGTTTTAGAAGCTGCATCTTGTCGGGGTCGGCCGGCTGGTCTCATGATCCTTTGAGCAACCCCACGCACAGGCGCAGTAGGCTCGGGAGAGGCAGCTGCGTTCGTACGCACCCGGTCTCGCTCGCGTTGCTCAGCCTGCCGTCGCTCCTGTGCTTGACGATCTTGTCGCAACCACGAAGCAGGCAACACTCCCTTAATCTTTCTGCCCACATATCTGATTTCATTGTCGCTTTTCTCCGCTTCACTGGCAGACTCGGCGGCCGAAGATGAGCTGTCCGTTATCACTACCCTGGTCGGTCGACGAAGCTGTCCACCGGACCTCTGCATATTACGTGGGGCCTGCTCGATGTCTGATCCCATCAGGATTTGGGGATCTTCTTGAATGACTGATGAAGTGGAAGGCGTAGGCAAGTTGGGGGCTGGGGTCATTGCACGTAGCGTAGCTGAACGACGAGCTGACATGTTCCCGTTCAATGGCGGACTGCTTGAGTACGGAGGTGAGTTCGGAGGGATGGACCAGATATCGCGTCGCATGTCACGATCTTCGAAGATACTTGTTGGTGCTGCAATAGTCTGAGTGGACGAGATGTTGAGCTTTCTACGCTTGGCTGCATGAGGGTGACGGAGCTGTGTAGACGAAACTCGTCTAGCAGAACTGGAGGCAGGGTGACGAAGAAGATCGTTCCTCGGTCGTGGTAATACAGGTGTAGAGACTGGTATTTCAACATCTGGGGGACTGCTTGTAGGACTTTGATTCGGATCAAACTCTTGCTCCTGGGTTTCATCATTCTGCTGCTTACGATGGCCCTGGGGTGATCGTGACCGCTCCCTTCGCACCGGTCTAAGTCCTCTGCTCTGTACTTCTCTCCGGTACATCTCACCCTCCAACGCATAAGGATGCATCTGAATAGGCTTCCGTTGGCGGAACTCACGTTTTGCCCTGTCGTCGGCAATCTGCTTCTGTAGGGCGGTCGAGGCTGGTATGACTACTTGAACCGCCGTGCGACGATGAGGCTCAGCAAATGCCAGCGGGGGCGACTCCATATCCGTTGGTGGATCTGAGAGATCTGAGGTATCATCATCGGAATTGTCGGATAAGGGAGTAATGCCGAACTCATGAAATAGGGTTGGAACGTGTTTGGGACTTCGTGCATCACCCACCATGGTCGACTGTATGGGAACGGTCGAATTGTCTGAAACAGGAACGGCATGATTGTCGTCCAGCTGAGGTATGGATACGGCAGAGCTTGGCTGAAGTATTGGCGATGCTAGGCGTAGGGATAATGGAGGTGGTACATTCCGTCGAATCTTTGGCGTTTGCGACCCCAGTAGCGGATCGGGGCTCTCAGTGAGCTCGCGTCTGAAGCTGTGCGTTGACCTGGGCGTGAAGGGAGATGGCGTAGGACGCCTGGGCGGGCTGCGTTTGGTGGGCGTGGTAATAACCGTCTCTTCCTTATCTACCCCTTCGCTACCTTGAGCAGCACAGTTCTTCTCTCTGTCTTCGTATACAGTCGCCTGTTCCTTTTCCGTGGCTTTTTCATGCCGTCCGATCGCGTCGACGCCTTCTTCGACGCGCTCGACGCGTCCACTCAGGCCACCATTCTGCCTGGAACCCTGACTCTCAAGCTGAGACTCGTCTTCTTCCTCATCCGAGTCCTGTACAAAACCTTTCTGTCGCCATTTGGACATTTGGACGCGCCTGCATGTCGTACCGGAGTTCGAGGCTGACGGAGTGAGGTTTTGGGTAATTGTTGAAGGCATGGCGCGTCGTCCCGTGCTCCGCCTAGCGTGTGCCGGGGGCGGAAGAGGGCTGAACTTTTTGCCCGCGGGAGTGCTTTCGTCATACACCCCAAATTCGAGAATCAGCAGTCCACACAACAAGCAAACAGAATGGCGGGACGCATCCTTCCAGTCGCGCTGGCGACGATAGTCGGCGTATCGATTGGAGTGGCTACTTTTGATGGCGAGTTTAAAAAACAGCGAATAGCACGATTGGAGGCAGAATACAAACGGTACGCCGGCTCCACATGCGCTTTCTCTTGCTTTCACTTACATTCATACCAGGGAACTCGCTGCTGCTGCCGCTTCCACAAGTACAGCGACTCCGCCACCAGCAGCCCCGGTTAGCAGAGCTTCCACACAGCTACAGACTAAGAAAGAGGACATCGTCACTTCTGCGCCTGCTGATAATTCGTGGTCGAACACGCTCGGACTCTGGGCATGGAAGAAGGACAACAAGACGGAAAGTGCGACTGCGCCTGCGACTAGCAGCGCTGAAAACTCCAAAGGCAAGCCCTGATGGTATTGTAACTGGCATTTAAAGATCAAGTTGACGCTCGAGATCGCTCCACCGCCCCTGCCGCAGCGGATCCAGACGCTTCAGCTCATCCAACCACGACTTCATGTCCTTTGTTGTAAACGACCCGGTTCCTGCGTCCACCGCTAGGTACGCCTCTGCGAGCCCGAGAAGTGCCTCGTATATCCACTTGCAATCCTTCTCGTCCTCTAATATCTCCCTGATATACTCCATCTCGTGCTCATAGTACTTTTGTCGCTCGCCGTTGGTCAGATCCTGGACAACAAGCGAACCCGGTGGACATGACGGAGACAATATCGAGAGGAGGTATTGGTGGTAGAACCATATAGACTGGTCGAAAGGATCTGTGTTTATGGCTTCGCATATTAGAGCTAGTTCTGAGTTGAGGAATGCGCGGCGAGCTTGGGCGTCTGCATCGCGCTCGCAGAGCATCTTGGGTATAAGCTGGCTGCGGTTGTGCCAGGCGGAGAAGTTGGAAAGATTGGTCTTGATCATTTTGGTTGTGTACTCGAACTCGGACTCTGTGAGGCTTTTCGGTGTAGTGCCGGTCGTGGGGATGTCTTCAGACGCGGCCAGCCGTTCGATCTGCGACACGACGAATCGTCTATAGCCCCAGGCATGAAAATTGCGGCTGTCCGCGTGTAGCATCTTGTTTATGAGTTGCAGTTCTCCCGACCAAAGCTTATGTGATGCTTCCACGCCCATCAGCGCTTCCCCTTCGCGCAGAAGCCAGTTTCGGTGGTTCCATATCCAATAGCACTTTGGGAATTTCCGTAACAGCGCAAAGGTGAGATGCAGGTCGCCTTGCAAAAGGTCTTCTGGCGATTGCTCAAGAGCATCTGATGTCAAGAGCGCCATCAGGACGCGTCTCCTGTGGTTCCATATCGTGTAATACTCGGGGTTTTCGTTTAGGAGCTTCGTGACAAGGCCCAAGACTTCGATGGTATACTGCTTCTCTGCAACCTGAAGGGCGACTGTCAACACCGAATGACCCAATCTGACTTTGAATTACATACCTTCGCATTCACCAGATCGGCTAGATCTTTGTAATCCGCAATCTGTTGAAGCTCCTTCTGTCGCGCCTCTTCTGACCGAACTATCGGGCCTGACCCACGCGATATACCGTGCTATACATATTAGCGAGTGTCGCCGACGTATCCTCATGTCAACATACGCTTGCCATGTGTTCTTGCGCGGTTGACAAGGCTTGGCTGTTGTTTCCTCAGACTGCAGCCTCGGCGGGATGTTGCCCCACTACACGCGTGGAGCTGCTGCCCCTCCGTCATCTCGCGCGGAAGGTTGCCGTCAACACTCGCTGCATCTGTCACCCCTCAATTTGCTGCCAACATCCTAAGACCTTGGCCCATCATTGCATTACTAACCTCGCAGCGATAACACCGGGACAGCAGGCAGTACCTCTCGTCCCTTAGCCTTTTTCCTTCGAACGACTTCACATGCGCTGAAACTCACAACTAAGCTCTCCAGTCCACTCATCTTGACGCAAACCGCTCCAACATGAGCGACACTGATGATGAAACATCTCCATCTCAGTCTGGCTATCTCACACCGCCGCTGTCTCCCACCAAGACTGTCTGCACTGAAGATTGGTCGTCACCTAGGACACCCCAGTCTCCTCGCAAAAGTCACAGCTGTCTCTTCTTCAGTGACAACAACAATAACAGTGACACTACTGGTTCCAGTCTAATTTCGCCATCTTCTCCTAGAAAGTCAAAATTCTTTTCTCGTCTTCAGGCACTGTCTACTCCGGACCTTCGTCCGATCAAGCGTGAAGCTGTACTGGAACAATCAAACGATCAGACTTGTCCAGATCATCGCAGACTCAACGATTTCAATTCTTCCTTTTTCAATCGCTCTACCACACTCGCTCACTCAAACGTTCCCTTCGCATCTACTACAGCTGCATTGCCTCTTGATGAGGGGGACCTCGTTCCTCAAGGGGAAGCCTGCAACTCCAATCCGCCTCGAAGTGTATCCCTTGCAAGAAAATCAAGGCGCACAGATCGCAGCTCTTCAGATAGCCTGGTTAGCATCTTGAGTCGCGGCCCATCTCCTTCGCCAAATCCTATAGACACTGCCACTAAATTTGAAAGCTCGAACTTCACACCCCTGCGCTACACTGACGCCTCTTCTGGGGAAACTTCTCGGCCTGCTAAGCTTCGTCAACTACCTCTGCGCTATGCTAGCTCTCCTTTGAGACCCAGTCAATGGGTCGCGCGAGGCGGATTTTTACCATCACCTCGTCCAAACCAGACCAGTACGCCAGATCGCTTCATCCCCAGCCGCCGGCTACCCGCGGTTACTCGAGAAAGCTTCGAGCTCAATAGCCCTGCAGAACGAAGGGACAAGGAACAAAACATGAACCGCGGTGCTCGCAGAGGCTCAGATGCTTTCAGTCGCCGACTGCGCAGAAGTGGTCGCATGAATGAGGAACTACGCGGGCTCAGAGAGGCACATTCCGTGGTTTCAGGGCGTGCCAATGCAAATAGAAGGAATGTCAACTTCAGGCGCAATCCTCTAACCTTGGGCGCTCGCCAGATCAGCGCTGGTGCTGTCTGGAACGTTGGTGGGCCTTCTGCTGTGAGCGAAACAGTAGTTGCAGTGTCCACTGGCAGAGGTGGAATGCTTGGTAGTGGAACGAACGCGCCACTGTACAAATCTGCTTTCTTGAACCGAGCAGATCCAGATGCCGAGCTTGAAGCCTATGAACGACGTCTCGCACTAGCACTTGACATTGATCAAACTGATCGCATACTTCAGCACTCATCATCTGCAGCCTCTCCGCGCTCACAAAATAGTGGCCCTGCATCACAGACGAAACATGTCTGGCGAGACGGAGCTTGGCTAAGGGACGGAGTTGATCCGAGTTCGTTTATATTCCTTACGAACGTTTCAGCATTGTGTTGTTGCTGACCACAAGCTCAAGATACCCGTAAAACGCCGCCAAAGCGGAGACCTGTGCCCATTCTACCTTTCAGATATGTCCTTAACCCACCGGGGTTTTTTTTATACTAATCTGGCACACAGTCCTTGATGCCCCTAACCTCCGCGACGACTATTACTGTACCTTGCTCGCATATTCTTATACCTCCAAGTGCCTTGCTGTTGGCCTAGGGAACTGTGTCCATCTATGGTCCGAAAGAAGCGGCGTCAGTACGCCAAACCCGCTGAACACCGTGCCGCCAAATGGACCTTCAGATGTTCAGCATGTTACGTCGTTGGATTTCTCCTCCACAGCAGGTGGGCAAGCAATTCTTGCGGTTGGACGGGCTGACGGTCGTATCTTACTGTGGAGCCCGCTTGACTCGGAACCACGATTCGATGCTACGCAACCCAAGCCTGTATCATGCGTGTCTTGGAGACCGACTGTTGTACAGCGACCTTCACTCCGGGATAGAGCGATGAATGTACCAACCGAAGAATTACTCATCGGAGATGAGGTTAGTCACATCTACTTCTACAGTGTTGAGTGGCCTTCGGAGACACACAGTGCACTCTTCGGCTGGAATGGTGCCATGACATTGCTCGCTCGATTATCCATCCATAGCCAACAGATTTGCGGTTTAGCATGGTCGTCGGACGGCGAGCTTTTTGCAAGTGGAGGGAACGACAACAACTGCAATCTGTTTGAGACAAAGAAGTTGCTTCGACCAAACGCTGCTAGCGAGAGTACAGCAGCCATATTGGATGTGCGTGCAGGTCCGCGTGGTGAGTCCATCTACACCGTAACCAACCGCAACAACAACCCCGTCTTGCACCTTGCGCAATCGGCGGCGAAACACACATGGACACTCAATGCAGCTGTGAAAGCCATGGCGTTCTGCCCCTGGCAACGCGGACTTATAGCCGTCGGCGGCGGCTCAAATGATCGCTGCATCCGCTTTTATCACACACGCTCAGGCACTTGTCTTGCTACTATCGACTGTGCAGCTCAAGTCACAAGTCTTATCTGGTCTCAAACTCGCCGTGAAATAGCAGCAACGTTCGGCTTCGCGCAACCCGAACACCCATACCGTGTCGCTGTCTTCGCTTGGCCTGGTTGCGAACAAGTCGTTGCCGTGCCGTGGTACGATGAGAATCGGGCTCTGTGTGCAGTCGCTTACCCCGGCGGCCCATTGAATGGTTCGCACATAGATGGAGACCGCGATGGTGGAAGGGCCAGGGGTGAAGATGGAGTCTGGTCGAGAAGAGGCGCCGAGGAAGGTTGCATCGTCGTTGCAGCTAGCGACATGGCAATTCGGTTTCATGAAATCTGGAGTGACAGACGGGGAAGTGTGGGTTTCGGTACTCTGCTAGGCAGTGAGACTACAGGCTTGTTAGGAGGAAGTGATATTCTTGAGGGCCCCTATGCTGGTGACTTTGAGCGGCCAGGAATGGTAATCAGATAGATGTGAGATAGTCCTTGAGGAACGAGTGGGGCAACAGCATAAGGTGAGCAAAATAGCTTCTCAGTCCAGGTATAGCAAATTCTTGGTTCTGATCCAGAACTGGCTTTGTGTTTGACATGCTACTACCAGGTACTTTTCGCTTATAAGAGAAGAATGCCAGTGGTGTTCTAGTATCTTCACCGTCTTCTAAGGTCTTCCATCACCCCGGTCCCCTCTTTCACTTTTCCCGAGTCTTTCAACGTGCACCTCTCCCAGCCTTAGCCGCACTCTCAGATTTGTGCTTGTATCTTACGCCCTCGGTATCTTCGTTTGTTAATCCCGAACTCTTCTTTCTCTTCTGCCGTGTCGCTAGCATCTTTCCACAGTCGTGTCAATGTTGACGAGTTGATCTGGGCTGCCTACTCAGCCTGTGTGCCTCGTTCTGCTCCTGGTCATTACACGAGTGTGCTTGCTTGTCGTTGATCTCAAGCCATGCGACATCCCTTCACCATCTTCCTCTCTATCTACTTTGTTCTCCTATCAACGTTTCTCATTGGCTGTTCTTGCGCGAGAGAGTTCGTCAGTGCCGTCTTTCTCTCCAATTTCTTTTCTTTGTCTACGGCTTTCTTAGCTGAACGCTTTTGCGCGATGGCATTGATCTGAATTGAGCGATGTGCTTTCAGAACCGCAGTGAGAAGGCTTGTTGAGTGCTGTGCGGTAGTCGTGAGATTGGTGTCGGAAATCAGGGTTGAGAGTTCTAGATGAAGGCCTTGGAGAGCGTGCGTGAGTGCATCTTCCTTGCTCGTATGTTTTCTAAGGTCTGGACGTTTTCTGTGCGGATCTGGAAGCGGTCTATGACTTAGGATAGGCGCCTTTACTTCTGACTGCGATTGTTCGTTTTGCTCAATCTGTTCCAAAGTTTGTTGTTGGGCAGCGTCTTCGTCCACATCGAGTTCGTTTAGTCCTGGGTGTTGTTGCGCCGACTGTGAGTCTTCTTCGAAAAGATGGGCTGAACTTTTACCCCGATTCTCCAGCACAAAAGCTAGGCCCAGGGAATGTTTACCATTGCTCCCGTACAGGCTGTCACCTTTCGTAGCCTCTTCCCTCTTGTCAGTCTTGTCCGACCAGAATGTTTTCCCTTCGAACAGCCTCTTCGCAGTTCTGAATACCGTGCCACTGACAGGGTAAAGCTTGTTCTCTGTGTCCATAGTGGCGTTGACTTGCAGTCGGCCGCTTGCGTGACCTATCGTGACCGCGTCCTCCACCAAAGGTTCAGGGGCCAGCATTTGCTCAACGATGGTGCCGGAAATACGCGCAGCAACTGCTGATGTCAATGCAGCAGTCAAGGGAATTGCCCGATGAGGTTGTGTATCAGAGAGAAACCGGAGGACTATATCCATTTGCGATGACTTGAGTGTTTGCCCCGACAACACAGGATGCGAAGACGATTGGGATACGAGACCGATCTTGGGTATGGTACGAGGAACGTCGTCTTCCGTAGGCGCAATACCCATGGCAACGGCAGCGGTCTTACGTATGCTTTCGAGCAATGCAAGCTTCTCTGGGAGTTTATTGAAATCGTTGGGTAGTATCGTGCCATCCACACCGACATCGTCTGCTCGGATGAAGACACATGGGTTTGCACCATCCACGCAAGACACTCTATAGTCCCCAATTTTGTCTACCCTCCTACCAGTTGGTAGCACTTTGCCGGTCTTGCTACCGTATGGGTGTTTGAAGTCCAACTTAATCTTGGAGCCAGATCCGGTCACACCGTCAATTTTGTAGTCGCCTGCCA